ATATATATATATATTAATATTAGCGGTGGCGGTAGGAATATATAATCTTCGCATAATATCGCGGCACTTTCGCTGGCATCGACGACGCGTTGTCCGGCGTGTTCCTCGGACGTCAACGGGTTAGCAGCGTTGATAGCGACGGCGCGCGAGTGCGGATAGAATCGTAGACGTTGTCACTTTGACAACGGGAAGAAGACTGCGGTATTATTTGCGGCGGAATGTCGTCGGGCGTGCGGCGCTTGCTGGACTATGCACAGCGGCGTATAACGCGAGGTGTTGGTCAGTCAAATACTCATAATAGGGCGACGGCTGATAAAGGGGCACGAGTCGTGGGGCATTGTGTATAATGAAACGACGCGGGCTGTGTCAATTACAATAAAAATTTGTTATATATATATACATAATTGATGACACGCGCGCGTCTACGGGTTAGAAAATATTGTTGACTATGAGTGGTGAGCGGGGTGGGGCGAATGCATTACAACAGTATAGTCTCAAGGTCATACACGACGGGATACGTGACATAATAACACGTGCCGTGTGGAGTTACAAACTTACAAACGACAAACAAACAACAAACAACAAACATACACGTGAAACTAATATAAGCGTGTTAAAAATAAACAGATACTTTTTGTCACGTTACATACTTTGCCATGTTAAGTTTTCATCAGAATAAAAATATGGTTTCTACAATTTCAAAAGAGAATACGCTGCAGAATAAGATCCTTAAACAAGCTTATATTTGTAAAATTGTTAAAAAATGAATAATTATGTGTAAGGGCGTAGTTTGTTTATTCTAAAAGTATAGGAAAAATATTTGCACTCCGTGTTAATTATTTAAACGTGACAATAATAGTTTACTACCTTCAATAGAGGGCTATGACGACTAGAAAAATGCTAATGCAAACATTAATCAGCAAAAAAATTTTAATAGTCATAAACAAAGTATAATAAAAAAAGTGATAGAAATAATATAAGTAACCGTATCAAAAGTTTTTGTCTCCAAAAAAAAAAAGGTATTTGCGTAATATTATACAAAAAATAATGTTCGCACTTACCTTAATATCCTTTTGTAGTTGACTGAGTTAATTTTATGGCGATTTCATTCAGATTTATCGCTTTATTGTTAACAATCATTTAAAAGTCTTGTGTTTATTTCGATTAATTAGCTTTTTTGTGTATATTGGATTTAAAAAAGGATTCTATAGAATAAGGTAGCGTTTATTATTATTTGTTATTTCTTTACACTTTTTAAATATTTTCAAATTATATATAATTATATAATTATCAAATTATATATACTACTATAATACTACTAATAATATTTTCAATGAATTACTTATAGTCGATATTGAAATTTTTAATAATCACTCTGAACTTTCTAAAATATAATTATAAGAATATGTCTATCTATATTCAAAATATAATTAAGAACACTCTAGCGGCCCAGCGTTTCTCAGCGTAAAGCCTTGGCTGGTATAATATGCTCACAAAATAATTTTTTAAATATTTCTTTATGTATATTTTGAGAATATATTAAAGAGAATAAATATCGAATATTACACTAAAAATATTTCTTCAATGTGCTTAAAAAAATATCTTTTTAAAAATTTGCTTATAAATATTATGAAAATATATTAATTAGAATAAATATAGAATATTTAACTTGAAATATTTGTTGAATATATTATCAATATAATTTTTTAAACATTATAAATATATATCTTATTAGCCAACTGTGGTAACTTAAGAGAGACAAGCCATCCTCTTGCCTTTCTTTAGTTACACCTTTGGATGTAATTGGTATCTTGTTATATAATACTTATGTATTACAGGGTGGCCCACCACTCACTGACAACTTAAATAACTTTTGATCCAGTTAATATTTTTAGCTGATTTTTTTTTTAAATAATAGTTATACGTTAGGTCTATAGCTATATCTCAATAATTAATTTTTTTACATTTTATTAAAAATATTAATTATTTTTAAATTTTAAATAAAATGTAAAAAAAAAATCTAAGATAGCTATTTTGTAGAGTAGAATTTAAGAAAAATTTTAGTAAAAAAATATCTTATTAATATTCAGTAGTAAATATTCTGTAGCGTTTTGAAGTTTGTGAAAATTTGAATTTTCATGTATTATTTTACGGTATTAAACATTGAAATACGTATTGAGAAAAGGACAGAAGAAAACGCTATCTTTTCAATATACTTTTGAATGACAGTGATAAATAATAATTGCCTTATCTAATTTCTTATCATGGTATTAATGCCAAGTTTGTAATGTATACACATTATCATCATATGTATACACAGTAATCATGAAAAGATAATTTCATAAGTTTATTTTTTGAGTGTACCGTCGTGCCATAAGCATGTGTGAAAAATCGTAAATATTTTATAGGTCCTGTAACCGTGTTTAATATGTTTAGCATGTTACAAAACCATTTGTCATGTTTATATTTTTTCTGTGTAATTTTTTTTTTTATAAGATTTATTTATTTTATTAAAGTGGGTGATGTGCCAAATTTATTATAAAAATTTGGTGACGTAGTGTATTTCATTCCGGGATATTCCTGTGTGTTAAAACTAACAAGTTTCACTGATTATAAGTTTAAAATTAGTCACTTATTTAGGGCATCTATCCGCCGTGCTAAATGGTAATATCGTGCTCGATGACAATTAAGTACCCGAAGATGTTCATCGCATTCTTTAATTATAAAAATATATGTGTAATAAAATAATAAAGTTTTTTTTTAATAATATATGATTTTTTTCTTTTTCTTTTAACATATTATTATAAAAATGAGGTTAAATTTGATAAAATTAAAATTTTACTAAACCGTCAACTTTATTCTTGGGTATTTCATCTTTATTGGACTGGTATATATAGTATTTCTATCACTTCAAAAATAATTTTTCCTATTTTATAAAGTACGAGAAACGGACTTATCATGGTTGTATAAAGACTTGTCATAAAAATTTTGTTGTACACCAAATACCAACGACTTAACGAAAGTAAAATAAGTTTTAAATTATGTTGATTATAATGCTACATTTATTTCTCTATATAATTTTATTATGACATGGTCAATGAAAAGTTACAAAATCTGTTCATAAAATCAAAATTTTTGATATTTTTTATCATGATTGTGAATAGAAATACGCTAATAATATACAAAATAATTCTACTATAGTCGACTATTCATTTGAAACAATTACTAAATTACAGTAATGTCGTATTGAGAATATTTTTATTATTTTATTAATTACAAAAATATTTTTATAACATTTTTCAAAATAAAGTATTACGTTTAAAAGAAATATATTTATAACTAGACAAAAACGAGAAGAGAGCAATACAAGTATTATAATTTATATTATCTAAAATAAAATAGAATTATAACTATAAATAAACGTAACTCTTTTAAAGAGATATTTTTTAGAAATTTAGTTTAAAAATTTATAAATTATTGTGTTTACTTAGGTAATAAAATTAAATATTCAAATGAAAAAAATATATGCCCGTTTGAAAAAGATACGAAAATAAAAATTGCTAAAGTTATTGATATTGAAACATTAAAACTAGCTCACAAGAGTAGTTGCGAATTGAACGAGAATACAACTAGAAACGCTGCTAAAAATGGACATTTTGACTGTTTAAAATATGCTCATGAAAATGGATGCCCATGGGATGAAGACACAGCCGAAGCAGCTGCAAAATATGGTAATGTAGAAAACTTAAAATATGTTTATAAAAACGGCTGTAAATGGGATAAAGGCACAACTATAAACGCTGCTGTAAATGGGCATTTAGAATGTTTAAAATATGCACATGAAAATGGATGCCCATGGGATGAAGACACAGCCGAAGCAGCTGCAAAATATGGTAATGTAGAAAACTTAAAATATGTTTATAAAAACGGCTGTCAATGGGATAAAAGAACAACAAGCGCTGCTGCTGCATATGGGCACTTAGAATGCTTAATATATGCACATAAAAACGGATGTCCATGGGATGAAGGCACAACTGAAGCAGCTGCAAAATATGGTCATTTAGATTGTTTAAAATATTTACATGAAAATGGCTGTCCATGGGATGAATACACAACTAGAGAAGCTGCTGCTAATGGTCATTTAAAATGTCTAGTATATGCCCATGAAAATGGATGTCCTTGGTATGAAGGAATAACAAGGATTGCTGCTGGGAATGGCCATTTGGACTGTTTAAAATATGCACATATAAATAAATGTGATTGGGATGATACAATAATGGAACTAGCGGCTGCTAATGGTGATTTAGAAATTTTAAAATATTTACATGAAAATGGCTGTCCATGGGATGAATACACAACTAGAGAAGCTGCTGCTAATGGTCATTTAAAATGTCTAGTATATGCCCATGAAAATGGATGTCCTTGGTATGAAGGAATAACAAGGATTGCTGCTGGGAATGGCCATTTGGACTGTTTAAAATATGCACATATAAATAAATGTGATTGGGATGATACAATAATGGAACTAGCGGCTGCTAATGGTGATTTAGAAATTTTAAAATATTTACATGAAAATGGCTGTCCATGGGATGAATACACAACTAGAGAAGCTGCTGCTAATGGTCATTTAAAATGTCTAGTATATGCCCATGAAAATGAATGTCCATGGGATGATGGTATAACATGGGTTGCTTCAGAGAATGGACATTTTGAATGCTTAAAATATGCACATGAAAACGGATGTCCATTAAATGATAGTATAACATGGGTAGCTTCAGAGAATGGACATTTTAAATGCTTAAAATATGCACATGAAAATGGATGCAAATGGGCCATCGGCACAACTGAAGCTGCTGCTAAAAGAGGTAACCTTGATTGTTTAAAATATGCTGTTGAAAATGGATGTCATTGGGATGAGGGTACAACCAGAGTTGCTGCAGCAGGTGGTTATTTAGATTGCTTAATCTATGCCCATCAAAATGGATGCAAATGGGATGAAGGCACAACAAGAGCTGCAGCATTAGGAGGGTACATTAATTGTTTAAAATATGCTCATGAAAATGGATGTGACTGGGATATAGGGACAACTAGAGTTGCTACTGTGGGCGGTCATTTAAACTGCTTAATATATGCTCATGAAAATGGTTGTCCATGGGATGATCATATAACAAGAGTTGCTGTTGAATATGGCCATTTAGAATGTTTAAAATATGCACATGTAAATAAATGCGAATGGGATGAAACAATAACGGAATTAGCTGCTACTAATGGTGATTTAGAAATTTTAAAATATTTACATGAAAATGGCTGTCCATGGGATGAATACACAACTAGAGAAGCTGCTGCTAATGGTCATTTAAAATGTCTAGTATATGCCCATGAAAATGGATGTCCTTGGTATGAAGGAATAACAAGGATTGCTGCTGGGAATGGCCATTTGGACTGTTTAAAATATGCACATATAAATAAATGTGATTGGGATGATACAATAATGGAACTAGCGGCTGCTAATGGCGATTTAGAAATTTTAAAATATTTACATGAAAATGGCTGTCCATGGGATGAATACACAACTAGAGAAGCTGCTGCTAATGGTCATTTAAAATGTCTAGTATATGCCCATGAAAATGGATGTCCTTGGTATGAAGGAATAACAAGGATTACTGCTGGGAATGGCCATTTGGACTGTTTAAAATATGCACATATAAATAAATGTGATTGGGATGATACAATAATGGAACTAGCGGCTGCTAATGGTGATTTAGACATTTTAAAATATGCACATGAAAATGGTTGTCCATGGGATGAATACACAACTAGAGAAGCTGCTGCTAACGGTCATTTAAAATGTCTAGTATATGCCCATGAAAATGGATGCCCTTGGAATGATGGTATAACATTAGAAGCTACAAAAAATGGCGATTTAGAAATTTTAAAATATGCACATGAAAATGGATGCCCATGGGATAATAGCATAACTAAAGTGGCTACCGAAAGTGGTAATTTAGAAATTTTAAAATATGCACATGAAAATGGTTGTCCATGGGATGTTGGTATAACTAAAGTGGCTACCGAAAGTGGTAATTTAGAAATTTTAAAATATGCACATGAAAATGGTTGTCAATGGGATGACGACTTACTTACTGTGGCTATTAAAAGAAGTAGTATAGAAATTTTAAAGTATCTAAATGAGAATGGATGTCTATGGGATGAAAAAACAACTACAACTGCTGCATGTTATGGTAATTTAGAATACTTAAAGTATGTTCATGAAAACGGATGTAAATGGGCCATTGGCACAACTAAAGCTGCTGCTTTTACAAGGAATTTTGATTGTTTAAAATATGCACATGAATATGGATGTTCATGGGATTATGACACAACTAGAGTTTCTGCAGCTAGTGGTTGTTTAGACTGTTTAAAGTATGCTCATGAAAAGGAGTGTCCATGGGATGAAAGAACATCAGTTACAGCTGCCGTGCATGGTAATTTAGATTGTTTAAAATATGCTCATGAACATGGATATAAATGTATTGAAGGAACAATGAGAGGGGCTGCTGCGAATCGAAATGTAGGATGCCTCAAATATGCCTATGAAAATGGTTGTGAATGGGATGAAGGCACAACAAGGGAAGCTGCTGCGAGTGGTTGCATTAGTTGTCTGAAATTTGCTCATGAAAATGGATGTAATTGGGATGAAGGAACAATAGCTACCGCTGCCATGCGTGGTAATTTAAATTGCCTAATATATGCCCACGAAAATGGTTGTAAATGGGATGAAGGCACTACAAGACTTGCTGCTGCAAATCGTCAGTATCATTGTTTAAAATATGCACATGAGCATAATTGTCCATGGAGTAGAAATACCATTTATGAAGCTACTATAAGAGGCTTTTTTGATATAACCAGTTATGCGTATGGAAATAACTGCCCTAATTAGTTTTCTGATAAAATATAGTTTATTTTTTAATTGTCTTAAGCTAAAATAATAATAATTTTATTGATTACATTTATGCCATTTTATTTGCTTAATAAATACTCTTTTTGAAAGTATAACTAAAATTCTTAAAAAAATATTTTTCCGAATTTTGTTATTATATTACGTAATTAGTAATAAATGCATCTAAAACTCAAAATTCTATATTATCTATAGTTTAAACTTAAAATTTTAGCTTCGATGAGAAGCTGAGAAGGTATTGGTTTTACTATGATGTGTTTTTTTTTTTTTGTGACTTTTACCACTTTTTCTCAGCTCTCACTGAACGGTTTTCTTTCAACGATTAGAAATAAATTATGTATTTGAATACGTCAACCCTTATATTTTTTTCATGATATGGAAAACTTATTCTGTAAAAATTAAAACTGGATCAAACTTCTAATGCCGCATTGGGGTTGAAGTTCGACCAAATAGTGTTTTTTTTTAGTTTTTAACATTTATTTAAATAAATATTATAGTTAGCGTAAAAATATAAAGAATAAAAACTATTCAGTATTAACTTGTACACGCCAGATAAAAAAATATTCAATACTTTAATGCTGTCTTAGATAAATAGTGTTTATAATTGAAGACTCTAAAAATTGAAGGAGCTGAAGCTCCACTTATTAGATCTAACACATTTGTTGCTTGAAGGCCATTATGGTATTGCCTTCAATTGTTTTATAAAAAAAATATATATATTTCAGCAATAAAAAAAAAAAATTTTTAATTTTTTGTGTAGTTAAATAGATTCGAGCACTGATTCACTGACACGCCACGGGCCTTACAACTTAAAATACTATTTTTAATGAATGATAAAAGNTTCAGCAATAAAAAAAAAAAATTTTTAATTTTTTGTATAGTTAAATAGATTCGAGCACTGATTCACTGACACGCCACGGGCCTTACAACTTAAAATACTATTTTTAATGAATGATAAAAGACATTTATTGTTAGTAAGTACTGATTATCGATCATATCTCTATAAGAGTTATCAGATTATATATTTATAAGTAAGATTTTTAATTCATTACTTTACACTCATTAATTTAAATCAATAACATCATTCAACATTAGTTTGTTGAATTTTTAAGTTTTTTAATTAGCATCTTACAATTACAGAACAATTGTAGTATAATTATTAACACATGTACTAAACATTACATATATGAATAAAGCAAAAGTCATCTAACAAATGTTTTCCTTTTTGGATATTAAAAATAACCATTTATTAACACACATTTGAAACTAGGTCCTTATAATTCATTATCTACGACCACATCATGGTTTTTATCACAATTAACCAATCACAAACAATAAGAAAACATCTCAGGAATTTTACTAGAAATCGCAGATTTACTTTATCTATAATATAAAGCCATTTTTTTTCATAAAAATCGCTCTCTGGGCTGTAGCTGTTGCTTTTCTCTTTCTCTCTGCTCCTCAGCACAGATTTTTTATGCTTTTGGTCAATATTCTCTTACATAAAATCTGCGTCAGTATAAGTAAATATTTTATACCTACGACTTAGTTTTTCCATATTATCCTAAATGGTGAACATGGTCAACAAACGCATACTGTTTAGTTATATTGTAATACACACGACTTAATCATAAATCAATTAATAGTCACTTTTAAAATCACTCTTTCCAAGAAGAAATCTATAAATTATTTTTGTGTCTTTTAGCTTCAATGCGAAGCTGAGAAGGTATTGGTTTTACTAAGATGTGTTTTTTTTTTTTTTTTGTGTCTGTTACCACTTTTTCTCAGCTCTCACTGAACAGTTTTCTTTCAACGATACGTCAAAAGATCACAAATCGTATCTAGTCGAAGACATTATCCTCAAAAATTGAAAAAATTTCTCTCGTTCCCCGTAAATGGGGGAAACCTCCAAAAAAATTACAAATTTAAAAATTGCTTATTTTCGAAATTTTTTCAATTTTTTTTACTAAAAACTGCCGTAACTTTTTCAAAAATGAATATATTAATATAATTTTTGTTTTTATAGATGCTTGATGTCTTTACCTATCATTAAGTATATTTTTTTTGTAAATCTGACACTTAACTTGCCCACAGGGGGGGATTTAAAATGACAACTTTTTCACAAAAAATTAACTTTTTCTACTTTTGAAAATGTTTCGGAAGGTCTGACACTTTTATATATATCTTAAATTAAAGTTAATATAATGTACTTTATTATGAAAAAATAAAATTTCGGACTTTATTTAGTCTTCGTGGTGAAAATGGCTACCGAATGCTATTTTTGTGTGAAATTTCTCCATTTTAAATTTTACTTTAAAATGCTATAACTTTTAAAAAAATGTATGGATCAATACAATTTTTTTATGAGAAGTAGTATTTATATACATCTTTCATTCGACATACTTTTTTTTTAAATCAGACCATTTCTCTATATACGGGGGGGGGCTTCAAATATAAAAAATTCATATAGAAAGTAGAACTTTTTCAACTTAAATTGTGAAAGTGTTCCGGAAATACTGACACTTTTATATATATCTTAAATTAAAGTTAATGTAATGTACTTTATTATGAAAAAATAAAATTTCGGACTTTATTTAGTCTTCGTGGTGAAAATGGCTACCGAATGCTATTTTTGTGTGAAATTTCTCCATTTTAAATTTTACATTTTTTACTTTAAAATGCTATAACTTATTGAAAAGTGTATGGTTCAACACAATTTTTTTATGAGAAATAATATTTTTTAATAATCCTTTTTTAATTCAGGATATTAATAAGAAAATAGCAGATCATGTAGCTTTTGGAATAATCCTCCAATTTTTTAAAATTAAACACTATCCAAAGATTTGCATAGAATCGTTTTTTTTGATAGTGATTTTAATCACTGTCAGATATTATTATACTTGATCCAACTATGCCACGTCACCACTGTGCCGTGACCCCCCTGTGCTGGGTTTTTTTTTATTCTAATTTTAATTATTAAATGCATTGTATCAACTCTAATCTTATGTGTAAAAAAAACTATGTTGATGTTATATAAAATGTCTAAATGATTTATATACTATTCATATGTAATAATTTCTATATTTTATGCTTACTTAATAATAAACAGTAATGTTGTAAGAATGAGTCAATGATGATTTTTGGGGGTACAAAATATTATAAAAATGCAGAGTAAACACTTACTGTGGTCTATTCTTATCGTGCTCTAGACAATGTTACACGAACATTGTGATCATAATTGTCGAAGTTTTGACATGTTAAAGTTGTGAACTAAATTGAATTGTGTTATTTTATTTATCAATAATTGATTAATACTATTACTTAAGATATTATAAAAAACAAGAAAAATTATCAGGTAAGATTTTTTAAATCCAGAAGAGTTAATATTTATATTATTTCATGACCCTCGAATCACACCTCGAATTTAAAGTAACACTCAATTTTACCCTAGTCATATTCTCTTTATTTTATTAAGTTTTGAGTTTCGATATCTGTGTACTCGCAGCCTGATAGGACTATGCCAATTATCATCAGGTAACGTGTAGGCAGTTGAGTAGAGAGTAGTACAAAGTTTATGAAAGAATAAAAAAAATATTTTTGAAGTGCGCTATATCCGTCGACTAGCCAGTTCTAAAACTAGTAGTTCGGGTAGAGTTCATGATAAAATATATAGTTTGTAACATGGGAAACTTGTAATAATACAAAAATTAAGATAAAAATATAGCATGTATAATAGGGTGGCCCTTAAAAATCGAATGTCTTTTTTTTTTTACGCTACCCCTTAATTTTTTTTTAATGGTCAAAAAAATGAGCTGTGCAAAATTTGGGACCAATCCGTTAAGGTTAACCCGTGCCCACGGGCCTATTAAGTTGAGTCATAGAGTCAAATTTAATAGAAATAACTGATCTATGTCTCATAACTTTTTTTGCTCTTAACTTAGAATAATAAAAGTAAAACTCAAGTAAAGGAAATTTTACAGGAAATTCAAAAATAATAACTTCAATGTTGTTTTCTCAATAAATAGCCCACAAAAACACTACATACAGTAAAAAACATGTAAAAGTCTTAAAATACGTTATAACTGATTTTGTTGATTTTTAATTATTTATTTTCATTTTATTTTTTGGAAAACGCATATTCGTTTAAAAAAAGATTCTAGAAGTTTAATTTTTTATGCCAAGTACGATAATTATATTAGATTTATTATTTTATGGACAGTTAATTAATGATTAATTACAAATTTAACAGTTTAATTTAATTGTTATTAACAATTTTTAATTTATTTTTTTTTTAATAATAATAACTTTAAAAAAAATATTTTAACAATAATTAAATTATATTATTATAATATATTTTTTGATAATGTACTTTTTTTACAATTAGGAAATTTTTTCCGATAATTACTTACTATTTGTAAAACGTATTGTTTCTGTTCTTCATTTGTAGTTAATATATTAATGTAGTCTTAGATTAATTTAATGCCACGCTAGGCTGTATCATTAATGACTCGTAATTTACTTATAGTATTTAAAGCATTTATGTAACTGTTGTTCGCACTCCAAAATGATGGATCAATTTTCAAAAAATCAGTGTTCAGATTAAATAGTTGTAAATTTGATGGTAACTTACTACCAGTTATTTCGTGGGAATAATTACCAATAAGATAAATATTAGTTCGTAATACTTTAAAAGACGCTAAAAGTATTGTACATTTGTGATTAAAACGTATCATTTAATATATAATAATAAACAGGTAAAATATATTTAACGTGTTCACAAATTGTCTGCTGCATTTATACGACACAAATTATGTCAGTTGTCGAATAATATAATAATATAACTCAAATATACTTATCTTTAATAATAATATAATTGGTACTATCTTAAAGTAATTCAGTAAACCAAAATTGATATATTGATACGACAAAATGTAATAATACAATAAATTTTGTTAAATTTGTAATTAATCATTAATTAACTGTCCATAAAATAATAAATCTAATATAATTATCGTACTTGGCATAAAAAATTAAACTTCTAGAATCTTTTTTTTTAACGAATATGCGTTTTCCAAAAAATAAAATAAAAATAAATAATTGAAAATGTTAGTTACATAAAATGGTAAAAATAGTAAAATATAAATAAATAAATATATTAATTGGATAAAGCTATAATTATTGGTAAAAATAAATAAATTTATGATATCTTGAGATTGAGTGATATTGAATAAATTATGTAAAATATTCCTTCAATTTTATAA